AATGTTGTGAATGAGATAAAAAAAAGTATTTGAAATATTGCTGAGGAGCTAAACTTATTAGGGATGAGATAGAAAATACTGAGAATGAGCTAGAAAATATTGTGGATGTGATAAAAAAAATTGTTGGTAATGAGTTTGGAAATATTAAAGATCTAAAAATATTGTGGATAAGATATTTTTAAAAAATATTGTGGATGAGAAGAAATATTGCTTATGAGCTAAAACTTATTTGGGATGAGATAGAAATTACTGAGGATGAGCTTGAAAATATTATGGATAAGCTAGAAAACATCATGGATGAAGTAGAAAATACAGCAAATGAGATAAAATATGTTACAGATGAGCTTGAAAATACTAGGGAATTAGCATGAAAATATTAGGGATGAGCCAGAAAGTACTGTGGATGAGCTAGAAATTATTAGAAATGAGCTTGAAAAAAAATACTACGGAGGAGCTAGAAAATATTACGTTTGAGCTATAAAATACTGGGGATGAGCTAGAAAATACTAGGATTGAAATGGAAAATAGTGGAGGTGAGCCTGAAAATGTTTGGGATGAGCTAGAAAATAGTGGGGATGCTCTAAATAATATTAGGGTTGAGCTAGAAAATACTGATGGGTGAGCTAGAAAATATTAGATTTGAGCTAGAAAATATTAGATTTCAGCTAGAAAATATTGTTGAGGATGAGATAGGAAAGTCTAGGAAATAATGGGGATGAGCTAGAAAATTTGGTTTTTTAAGATGAAGAATATTGGGGACCAGGGAGAAAATACTCTGGTTGATCTAAAAAAAAATAATGGGGATGAGATAGAAAATACATGTATTAACATTGAGCTATAAAATGCTGGAGATTATCTAGAAAATAAAGGGGATGGTCTAAAAAATATAGGGGTTGAGCAAGAAAATATTGGGCATGAGCTAGAACATACTGGGAGTGAGCTAAAAATAAGGGCGATGAGCTAGAAAATTAGGTTTGAGCAAGAAAAAATACTGGAGATGTGTAAAAAAAAATATTTTGGTTGAGTTTTTAAAAAATACTGGGGATGAGTTAGAAAATACTGGGAATGAGCAGGAAAATACTATGGATGCGATTTGGGTTTTTTTTAAATATTGGGGATGAGCTTGAAAATATTAAGGATCTAAAAATATACTCGAAGAGGTAAAAATATATATATATATTAAGGAGGAACTAGAAACTATTAAGGATGAGGGATGAGCTAGAAAATACTGGGAATGAGCTGGAAAATACCGTGGATGCGATTTATTTATTTTTTATATTGGGGATGAGCTTGAAAATATTAAGGATCTAAAAATATTGGGGATAAGATTTTTTTTTATATTGTGGATGTGATATCTTTAATATTTTCAAGTTCATCCCCAATTTGAAAGAGAAAAAAAATCACATCCGCAATATTTTCCAGTCCATCCCCAGTATTTTCTAGCTCGTCCCTAATATTTTCTAGTTCCTCCTTGATATATTTTTTTTAACCTCATCGAGTATTATCTAGCTGATCCCTTATAATCAACGTTACTATTTTCTAGCTCAACCCCAATATTTTGTAGCTCTACCAGATTATTTTTCCCCTCATCCCCAATATTTTACATTTCATACCAAATTTTTTAGCTCTTCCCTAATATTTTCTAACTAACTCCCCAATATTTTCAAGCATTTTCTAGACTTTTCTGTCTCATCCCCAATGTTAAAAAAAAAATCTCATTCATAATATTTTCTAGCTCAAATATAATATTTTCTAGCTCATCCCCAGTATTTTATAGCTCAACCTTAATATTTTCAAGCTTATCCGTAGTCTTTTCTAGCTCATCCGCAGTATTTTTTAGCTCATTTCTAATATTTTCTAGCTCATCCTCGGTACTTTCTAGCTCATCCCTAATATCTTCTCCTTCCCTAGAATTTTCTAGCTCATCCGTAACATATTTTAGCCTCATCCCCTGTATTTTCTACTTCATCCCTAATATTTTTTTAGCTTATCTATAATATTTTGTAGCTCATTCATAATATTTTCTAGCTCATCCTCACTATTTTCTATCTCATCCAAAATAAGTTTTAGCTCATAAGCAATATTTCAAAGACTTTTGTGTTTCATCCGCAACTTTTTTTTTTTATCATATCCCCAATATTTTAGCTCACCACCAATATATTTGTTATCCCATCCTCAATATTTTTTACACCATGCCCAATATTTTCTAGCTCATCCTCAGTATTTTCTATAACATCCCAAATAAGTTTAGCTCATAAGCAATATTCAAAGATTTTTGTATCTCATCCACAACATTTTTTTATCTTGTCTCCAATATTTGTAGATCTTTTACATAAATTCAAACTCATCACCAATATTTTTTTTATCACATCCACACTATTTTCTAGCCCTTCCTCAGTATTTTCTAGCCCATCCCCAGTTTTTTCTTGGTCATCCCCAATATTTTCTAGCTCATCCCCAATGATGTTAAGCTCATCAGCAATATTTCAAAAACATTTGTATCACATCCACATTTTAAACAATTTTATCCCCAATATTTTTAGATCCTTAATATTTTCAAGCTCGTCCCCCAAAAAAATATTTTTAAAAAATCACATCCACTATATTTTCCAGCTCGTTCCCAGTATTTTCTAGCTCATCCCTAATATTTTCTAGCTCATCCCTAATAGTTTCTAGTTCCTCTTTAATTTTTTTTTTTTACCGCTTCAAGTATTTTCTAGCCAATCCCTTATATTTCTTAGCTCATCCCCAGTATTTTCTAGCGCCATACCAAGTATTTTCTAGCTCATCCCCAGTAGTTTTTTAAGCTCAATCTTAATATTTTCTAGCTCATCTCCAGTATTTTCTAGCTCAAACCTAATATTTTCTAGCTTTTCCCCCTTATGTTTTGCTCACTCCCAGTATATTAAGCTCATCCCCAGTATTTTCTAGCTCAAACCCTTTATTTTCTAGATCGTCCCCAATATTTTATAGCTCAACGTTAATATTTTCTAGGTAATCCCCACTATTTTTTTTAGCTCGACCAGAGTATTTTCTCCCTCATCCCCAATATATTTCATCTCATATCAAATTTTCTAACTCATCCCTAATATTTTCTAACTCAATCCCCTATATCTTTTAGCTCATCCCCAATATTTTCTAGACTTTTCTATCTCATCCCCAATATTTTTTTATCTAATCCACAATATTTTCGAGCTCAAATCTAATATTTTCTAGCTTATCTCCAGTATTTTCTAGCTCAGCCGTAATACTTTTGAGATCATCCCCACTATATTATAGCTCATTCCAAGCATTTTCAGGCTCACCCTTACTATTTTCTAGTTCCTCCCTAGTATTTTCTAGCTTATCCCCAGTATTTTATAGCTCAACCTTAATATTTTCTAGCTTATCTGTAATCTTTTCTAGCTCATCTGTAGTACTTTTTAGCTCATTCCTAATATTTTCTAGCTCAAACCCGGTACTTTCTAGCTCATCCCTAATATCTTCCAGCTCATTCCCTAGTATTTTCTAGCTCATCTGTAACATATTTTAGCTCATCCCTTGTATTTTCTACTTCATCCTGTATATTTTTTAGCTTATCCATAAAATATTTTGTAGCTCATTCATAATATTTTCCAGCTCATCCTCAGTATTTTCTATGTCATCCAAAATAAGTTTGAGTTCATAAGCAATATTTTAAAGACTTTTGTATCTCATCCGCAACATTAAAAAAAAATCTATCTCAAATATTTTAGCTCATCACCAATATTTTTTAAAATCACATCCACAATATTTTCTAGGTCATCCCCAATATTTTCTAGCTCATCCTCAGTATTTTCTATCTCATCCCAAGTAAGTTTTAACTCATAGGCAATATTTCAAAGACTTTAGTATCTCATCCACATCATTTTTTTAAATCTAGAAAATATTAAAGAGGAACTAGAGAATATTAGGGATGAGCTAGAAAATACTGGGGATGCCATTTCGACTTCTATTCAACATAGATGGGACACTTTTTTTCACCAAAAAGAAGGCAAATGAGCAGGCTTTAGTGGGAGAAAACTCGAGGGGCGAGTGAACAGAAGGAGATCTTCAGAGGAAGAACCCCCCCCCCCCTCACCCCCCCTCCAGCAAGTATTTCGGCCCTAACTTCCTGACACTCTAAGCAGGCCGGGCCACACTCAGGTCACGACTCTTGAGTGCTCTCCTGCTGTTTCTGTTTGTCTGTTTTCTGTTGTCTTTGCGCTTATCATGCGACGACCCTTCGAGTTTTTGGGGTATTTCCGGGTCTTCAGATAACACCAATAACTCCATATGCCCAAAAATAGCTGAGCGCCTGGTTCCACCATGTCGTGACACATATTATTAAAATAATTAAAATAATACTCAAATGATAATCAGAAAGAGAATGAACGCTCTACAAAGTGTGTCAGCAAATTTATTTTTTAAAAGATTTTTTCCTTCATAAACACAGTGCTGTGGGCTTAAGGTACAATATAAAATGAATACTAAAAATACCAAAATGTTTTGAGAGAAAACATCCAAACAACAAAAAAGAAGCAGAAGTATAGATTTTTTGTTTGTCGTCTGCAAAAAAACCAAAAAAAGGCCACAAAATAAAATAAAATCCGACACAAAACATTTAATGAAGAGCAGTTTTCCAAATTTGCGCAATAATAAATTTTCGTTCAAAAATTTTTTTTATATTATTTTCCCCTCGAATTTGTGTCGGAGAAAGTCTATCACTGCGTACCTCTGTCGGAGAAAGTCTATCACTGCGTACCTCTGTCGGAGAAAGTCTATCACTGCGTACCTCTGTCGGAGAAAGTCTATCACTGCGTACCTCTGTCGCAGAAAGTCTATCACTGCGTACCTCTGTCCCCACAGGACATAGAGTCAACCCTTTGTGTCATGTCAAAACAAAAAAGAACAAAAAAAAGGTTTGTATGTACACACTATACCACTTATACACATCAATATAACTTAAAAATGATTTGTCAAACAGTCTCTATGGCTTGCAGACTATAATAATAAATCCATACACTTTTTAGGGTTGGTTTTTTTTTTACAACAAAAAGACTTGACCAAAATCAATGATCATTTTGATTGCGTTTCACAGATGTGTTGTTTGGGGGGAGGGGGGGAGGAGGGGGATTAAAGGACACAGGAACAATTAATTATGTACTTTCAAAAAAAATTGCACTATAGTTCTGTTAGAAATATTTACTCGTAAGTACATGATGCTTCCATGTAACGACTATGTACAGCCCAGCCGGCCAACAGGCCCAGCTCAACAGTTTGAAAACACAAACACATTGAGGTTTCAATTTGTACAGCACAGTAAGACAAAACACAAAGTCTTTATTAAGGCGTATTTTTTAAAAAACATACAAAATTACAAAAAACAAAATTACAAAAACTGTCTCATGAAAAAAATTGACCAGCACAAGAGAGAGAAAGACAGCGAAAGAGAAAGACAGCGAGAGAGAGAGAGAGAGAATTCGGACAAAAATAACTTTTTAAAAAAAGAAAGAGAAAGAAAGTGTCAAGCTAAGTAAGGACAGTAGAATAGATGAGTGAAATAGGACATGTGTGTACATCATCATAATCATATCAAACGAAACGAGAAATCATAAGTCAAAAGCTAAGACGATAAATTCAATAAACGAGGAGGAGAAGTAATGTTGTGACTCACATTCGCTGAAGAAATGCTTTGTTTAGAATTTTAGAAAAAAAAATTTTTTTTAATGCTCACACGCACGACTGCCTGCAGTTGGAAAGATACTCTCATGCCCCGTCTCCTGCCATCCCTTTTCAGTTTCTGCTCAAATAAAAATGTTCTAATCACAACATCCACACAATTTTTTCAAAGTTGGAAATTTTGCTTTGAAATTAACACTTGAAATTTGTTTAAAACTGTACTTTTATTTTTACTTTTCTCCGCCCCTTATTCCCTTTTGGGGGCTGTGAGAAGAAAGAGACGTCTCTCTGTCGCCAGCCGGAGAGCTTAGGTCCGGGGGATGGAAAAACAATTTTAACACTAAAAAAATTGTGCACAGCACATTCCGTTCTATTCTGCAGCCTATCTACTGACACACCCCCTCTGTTTGATTACATTGTATTTTCTCGCTTCCTATTTGAGAGAAAAATTTCATGTACAGTAAAGTGCATTATAACTGAATAATATAACCCTCGTGAATTACCATCACTAACCCAAGCTAGCTGTGGGTGGTTGGCGGGTGCTCTGGTGTGGTTTGCTCCTTCTTTCCTATCAAACATCTATCGTCCTTATCTCCCCTTCTTCTTTTTTATGTTTGTTACTCTCTTGTAACACCTCTAATCTTCTGGCGCTTACATGAACTTATGCAGTTGCGAGCACCGTAAAACATCTACTAAAATAAAGTAAAGAGATAGATCTGAGACACGGGGCAGGAGAACATGAACAAACCACGGCCACACGTGGACTAGGGCAGTACACATCACCATAAGTAGATCGGTGTGTGTCAAACGAACACACATCCGGCCAGTGGTCACACCTACACGCGGACTAGCGCAGTACACACCACCACAAGTCTTAGTGTGTAGTGTGTGTCAATGAACACACGTCGGGCCGGTGGTCACAGCTACACGCGGACTAGCGCAGAACACACCACCACAAGTCTTAGTGTGTAGTGTGTGTCAATGAACACACGTCGGGCCGGTGGTCACAGCTACACGCGGACTAGCGCAGAACACACCACCACAAGTCTTAGTGTGTAGTGTGTGTCAACGAACACGTGTCGGGCCGGTGGTCACAGCTACACAATATACAACACCACAGCTCCCAGCACAATAAAACATTTGTGCTCAACATGAAGATTTTTGGAAAAAAAAAATACACCAACAACCAAAAACAAACTTTCAGAGTAATCAAATAAACTGAACGTCTGTAGCGCCTTACGTAAAAAATGTGGGCCTCGTTATCACAGCAACTTTTCAGAAATGAAAGCTGCAATTTAAAAAATCACTGATGCTTATAGTTATATTATAGTTCTACTGTTTGACATTTTTGCTTTTGATAAATTACTGGAGGTAGTTCAAGACAAAGTCAAGTGACGCTTGCGTGGCGTTTGATTTGATATTTGCTCTTTGTTTTATGTTTTTACAATGACATTTTTTTAAAAAGTGGCACTATGAACGTTTTTATCTTCACAGTTAAATTTAGCGTAAACTGACAAGAATATTTCCATCAACATTTTCAACAATAAAAAAAAAAAGAAGATATTCTGCACCGAAGCTTCTGATATTTCCAACTTGCAGTGAACATAATCTAAAAAACACAAAACGACAAGGGGCCAATATCTCCCCTTTGTTTTCTAAAGTACCAGCATCCACAAAATTACCAGTACTGAGCAAATTTTGTCATATATTTTTCCTAAATACGCCGTGGTGAGATAATAATCAAACAAAAATGTTCATTCAACACATTAGGACATCAGAATAGTCAACACATGTCATATGGCCATACAAGTCAGATGGGAGCATAGATCTATACCTTACTATAAAGACTGGCCAGCCCACTCGACGGTCTATCCAGTTCGTAAACATCCTACCCTTCTTTTTGATCACATCACAACCCAAGTCCTGTACCTATTATATATACGAGCGCTCCAAACCCGCTGTGAGAAGACGGTCAAAGGCATGAGACCGAAACCTGAAATTCCCGTAAACCTACATATTGTATAACTGAACACAAAATATCCTTCGGCGCAGTCGGCATTCCGCAGTGAATATACAATGTCGAAATAATTAATGATGGCGATCGCTACAAAAGGACTAAATTTAACTTAAAATGGGCTTTCTTCTTACACATTTGATCTTAATGTAAATACAATAGTGCAACACTACGTTTCAAGTTATGGGTACTGGAAAAGTTTCATATTTGTTCATTCTTTAACTTCTGAGAATATACTGTTCGCAAAATTTGGCCTTAGCTCCATTAGTAGTAAGATACCAAGCTGCCCTGCTCAGCAAATGTCTGACTTTCTCAACAATGACATTCAAAGAGGCACAAATGTTTCCAAGTACAGAAAGAAGAGAAAACTTTCCTCGTTTTTTTATCTCATCTTAGCTTAGACTTTGTGAATGTTTCCGCCTGAACATTACGCTGAGACTAGTCTGAGACCTCACAGTAACGTCGCAGCAATAGCTACACTGTGCCAAGCTACCACTTGCTCGCATTATGCAGCTGTATCGAGGAGGAAAATCCTGAGTTTGACTTGTTTGAACTACAACTACAGAAAGAACTACCACAAAAATATCTGATGCTCCATCTTCAACATGAGGCAGAACACACACATTCACTCAGGCACTAGATAGATAGCGACACTTTGGTCACTAGATCGTACAACAGCTATTCTCTCCATGAAATAAATGCATTTGTCACAGTATAAGTAAGAAAAAAAATAAGAGAGGACAATCCATTCCCCACTGACTGGAAGACTGAATTGAAGGAAGCACAGAGTAATGTGTGAGTAGAGAGAGAGGCACTTGGTGGAAACATTTCCCTCTTGTCAGACAGAGCCACAGAGGAAGACAGATGAGTGGTGGTAACATTTCCCTCATGTCAAAGAGAGCCACAGAGGAAGACAGATGAGTGGTGGTAACATTTCCCTCATGTCAAAGAGAGCCACAGAGGAAGACAGATGAGTGGTGGTAACATTTCCCTCATGTCAAAGAGAGCCACAGAGGAAGACAGATGAGTGGTGGTAACATTTCCCTCATGTCAAAGAGAGCCACAGAGGAAGACAGATGAGTGGTGGTAACATTTCCCTCATGTCAAAGAGAGCCACAGAGGAAGACAGATGAGTGGTGGTAACATTTCCCTCATGTCAAAGAGAGCCACAGAGGAAGACAGATGAGTGGTGGTAACATTTCCCTCATGTCAAAGAGAGCCACAGAGGAAGACAGATGAGTGGTGGTAACATTTCCCTCATGTCAAAGAGAGCCACAGAGGAAGACAGATGAGTGGTGGTAACATTTCCCTCATGTCAAAGAGAGCCACAGAGGAAGACAGATGAGTGGTGGTAACATTTCCCTCATGTCAAAGAGAGCCACAGAGGAAGACAGATGAGTGGTGGTAACATTCTCAACAGGATGGGTGGGCAAAGGAAAGGCAAAAATCATTATCAACGCGACGCAATACTTTAACAGGCAATAAAAAAAATCATGTGCACTGCATGTTTTTGAGCATATTTCAAAGGAAGCAGTGGTCACCGCAAATTTCGAAAAAAAAAAAAATAAGAAAAAAAATACCATTGGCAATCAACTTTTCTTTGTATAAATGTGTATATCAATATAAACCTTGAAATTGAAAATTCAACATGAACACAAATATGTGATTGTCCTCACGGCGAAACCATCTATAAACTCTACGGTAGAAAAGTAAACTAACTACAAATCTATTCTCACATCCTTCTCCCTTCCCAGTCGACAAACTTGTACACAAACTTTTCCTTTTCTAGACTTCTGTTGCCCAGTCGGAACAATCTTGACCAACACAAGCAGACTGAAAGGAGACAATCAGAAACGTATCTTCCCTCTTTTATTCATCAAATGTGTGAGGAGAGTGCCCGGAGAAAGGTCCCAGTTCTTGAACATTTTGGATATATTGAAATAAGGGAAATTTTCTTGTAGCAAATTTAAAGTTAAAGCTGAACACCTTGATTAAAAAATGTTTCTAATATCTTGAAAAGTTATAAAGATCTGCCACAAATATGTGAGCATCGCGGAGAAATCAGGCGTTCGTCAAAATAACAACATCAGAGAAACAGGCATTTTCCAACCAGTTTGGCTATTTTAATCAAATTTTTAAATTTTTTGTTCAACCCTTTTATGTCCAAATAAAAATACATTTCTATGTGAATTATATTGAAAAACGTTGATTAAAAGCTCAAAATATGTAATTTTTCAGCTTTCAAGGACTCTTTAGCTATTGAAGTTACCAAACCTTGGCGGCCATTTTCTCACTATTTTTACCGCTGAAACCAAGTGAACTTACCTCTTTCAGTCACAAATATCTTCACTTCTGCTCAAGATAGACAGGTATTTTAAAAATCAAAAACAAGATAAATGAACAAGCTTTAAGATGATGCCAATAACTCCACATGCACGAAAATTGACGAGCGCCTGGTTCCACCACGTCGCGACACATATGTTATAAGTAAGGAAATGGCTAACCATGGGTTTTCTGGTGGAACTGAGTTTTTGACCAGGTTTGACTTTTTGGGGACTTTTCACACCGTTGCTCAAAAAGAGCTTTCCAGACAATTGGGATCTTTCTCCAGCCCAGGCATACACACACACATTTATCATCCCAACTCCTGTCATCCTGGAGTTCTATTGAGAGAGTGAGAGTTTCCCCTTTGAAATTGACAACCCTGTAGGAAACAGTAGGGGTTTCAGTTTCAGACTTTATCACAAACATTTTCTCCGCGACAAAAAAGGAACACTTTGGGCTCACCGTTGTCTACAGACGTATTTGTGCTCAACTTTCAACAGCTCAATCCTGCCTGAACTAAGTTATTTATTCACTTTTGACAATAGCGGTCACTGGCGATGGAAATGTAATACAAACTGCATAAGTTTTTTTTTTAATGCCAGACACAAAAGAGTTAAAGTTAATTCAAATTTAATCCGAGATCCTATTGAATTCTTAAGATTGAGCTGTGAATTCTTAAGATTGAACTGACATATCTCGTTCACTGATGAAAAAGTATTAAAAGTCACAAAGTTAGGGGTTTTTCAATCCCACATCTGAGAAGATCCTCATTCAACTTTATTCAGGGATGGAAACTGAGTGGGTGGTTGGCGGGTGCTCTGGTGTGGTTTGCTTCTTCTTTCCTATGAAACATCTATCATCCTTATCTCCCCTTCTTCTTTTTTATGTTTGTTACTCTCTTGTAACACCTCTAATCTTCTGGCCCACATATGACCTTATGCAGCTGCGAGTGCCGTAAAACCTCTACTAATACTACATGGAAACCAATCAGTTCAAAATTTACTGAACTTTTCGCAGACTATACCGATTTGGAAAACTACATTTACTATTTGGACAAAAATTCTCCATCAAGGCCCTCCTCTCTGCCCTTACAGAACAACTTTGTGTTGATGGAGTGCCAGTGGAGAATCTCCTCTCTGTATTGACAGATTCAGCTGCATTTGTGTGGGGACTTCAGGTTACAACTTATTGCAAAATGACAGAGCAAATCAAAATTACGGATTTCCATATTTATGGAAAATTTCCATCCCTGAATATTGTGTGAAATGGTGAAATGGTATAGGTTTAACGCCCCTATCAACACTATTAGGTTATTTAAGGGGCGGGACCTCCTTGTTTAACATTCGTCTCTCATAGGACCGGATATTTGTGTACAAAGCATGAAATTCCCAGATATGTTAAGGAAGCCATTCATTTTGAGTCTTCTTTAATAATTTAAAAGTACATCTCCCCAGGGTAACAAAAATAATAACTTGACGTAAAAAACCAACCTCACAAACCTTTTTAATCAGATTCACGTAAGAAATGTAGCCGAGACATCTTTCTTGCTATTTCTCTATTGGTTGGAACATTCCTTTACCCCAACTCAGTATACCGTACTTTTCTTACTTTCTACTCAATACTTTTCTTTGCCTCTACTCTTCTCAATACTGTTCTATGTACGTAATACTTCTCACCTAACAGAATCACTGCCCTAATACTGCACTCCTAGGAGATCTCGCTGAGCATTGCTAACAATATCGGTTCTTTCACTAACACTTAACAGCAAAAATTACATGAGCACATAAAAAAAAGAAACAAACATAAACAGAGACACACACAAAACCCCCCCCCCAAAAAAAATAAAAGGAGCAAAATGCAACAACCACTGCCAGAAAAGCAGACAGAATCGATAAAAGAACACATTGCCGTACACGACAAAAAAACCAAAACAGGCTCATCAGGAGACAAGTGGTAAAAAAACCCACAAAAACACAAGACATATAAACCCATCAGAAGTCAGCAACTAGATGCAAATATAATTATAATACAATATATTATAAATATGAGTGATGAAATATTTACCAGATCCAAATGACCATAGTCGCAACTAGAGTAACAACACGATATCACAATCCTCACCATAGCCATCTTCACATCTGATGTCGAGGGCCGGCCGGCGGGCAGGCAGAACTCAGTACATTATCTACAATAGTAGCCGGCCGGACTTGATTAGAAAAGTAACAGCCACAAACAATCAACGGTCAACGGCAGACAAACGTTTCAGGAGCTTAGAGGCCCTGACCTTGAGGACACATTTTAGTCTTCTTTTGTGCAAACACAGGCAAAAAGTTTGTTTACACTTCTCATTTACATCTAGCATTCAAATTCTATTTTAAAATTATCATATTCTTCGAGTTATCTCATTCAAAAAAAGAATTTCACTTCCCGATTTCTATCCAGCATTTGAAACAAGATGTTTATTCTTAAAGCTTTAACAATCTGAAACAAGTGTTATCCAACTCATTACTTCCACAATTCACAACAACATGGATTTTCTTTGAGTTTTAACTTTTTGTACGTGCGTTACACACCTTATGTCTACCCATCATTCAGAAAAAGATGCTTTCTTCAAGCATTAAGATTTTGAAAGAGTGTCAAATCTCTCGATTAAATCAATCACTAAAAAAAAAACCCAGGATGCTATCTCACCCAGCGCTGACATCAATACTATCGGTATGCGTGCACAACGCTCCAACTCTAACGCCAACGGTATCAGTAAGGAAAATTTCGCTCTCGTGGCCGCAAATAGTTGCCAACTTTTGTGTGAAGCAGACTATAGCCATTTTAACAGGAGGTGATCACTGTGTTGTCATTTTGCTTCACAGATACACCATTTCTGCACAAACGGAATGAACACAATATAATCCAAAAGACAAAAAGAGGCCGATCAACCCCCCTAGATAGAGTTTGCAGAAGAGAACCCATCTGTGAACCCGAGTACAACAAATTTTGTTTGTAGACACTGTTTCATCTCTCTGCAGTATCAAAAAAAAAAAAAAAAAGAAACGTGTGTGTCCTTCCCTTTGCCTGGTCTTAAGTACATCTACGGAAAGATCCTTCAACTAAAAACATGCTGACGAGAACCCAAATCTTACAAATGACAGAAGACACAATAATGACGATTAAACTGGTCATTCCTTTTTGTGTAGCGAAAGCAACGGGGGGAACTTTCACTACATCAGATCTCAACATTAAGTTTGTACTCTTCATAGACAAAAAGAAACGGATAAACATTGAGACAACCAGAAGGCAGCTGTGGACTGTAGCAAAGAAAAAAAAAGAAAAGAAGAAAAAAAAAAGAAAGAGAGAAAGAAAAATTGACTTTGTAAAATAGTCATTATCAGCTGTAAGTTCGATATCATCCAACACAAGACTTATCACTGACGGGAAAAATCTTTCGTCATGAGGTGACACTGAGGGAGAAACGACTGACCAACCTGTCAAGATTTCCACTAGCTTTCAGTAGGTCAAATGTACGTAAGTAAAAAGAGAAGTCTAGTCTGCAACACATACATAAAAGATGGAACATAATCTATTGTTGTACGTGTATGATAGAAATAGAAAAATATACCCCGAAACTCCCAGAATTTCTGAGTTACGGAAATATTGAGTTATAAAAGACTGTCTGCCACAAAACATATATCAGGTGTACACACGGTCTTACACAAGAAGGATGTCGTCGCGAAAAAAGTCCAAATGATGTACCGATCAGTGATACAAAATACAAGACCACATCCACCCGGAACCACTATCAGTGCTCTCAGTTCCTACATTTCTTCCGCACACATAATTTCCACTTTTTGTCTTTTCTTGACCTTCAAACCCTGACCTTTCTGAAGTAAAGGGGAGAAGGTCAAGGGCGCATACATAGTCCAAGTACAACATGTCACGATTAAATCTGTGATGACCTTGAACCATTCTCAGTGCCTTATGAATAATGTACACAGGTGTTGAAATTACAACAATTCTTCCACTTCTACCGAGTGAAAGTTCCGGTCGTTTCTTGAAGTGCAGTCTTCGCTCACACGTTCTGTCTCTGCTCTCAGTAGTTTCGTATTTGCTCACAAGTCTGTTTCTCTACAGGTCTGTCTTAGCTCACAGTAGTTGCTGACTCACAGACCTGTCTGTCTTAGCTCACAGTAGTCGCTCACTCACTCACAGATCTGTCTGTCTTAGCTCACAGTAGTTGCTGACTCAATCACAGATCTGTCTGTCTTAGCTCACAGTAGTTGCTGACTCACAGATCTGTCTGTCTGTCTTAGCTCACAGTAGTTGCTGACTCACAGATCTGTCTGTCTTAGCTCACAGTAGTTGCTCACTCCCAGATCTGTCTGTCTTAGCTCACAGTAGGTGCTCACTCACAGGTCTCGCAAGCTCAGTGCTTTCTTGTCGTATCTCCTTTTTCAATGATAGTGAAAACAGTTTATAACAAAGAGTGTTCTCAAGAAGAAGTCACAATTTCACTGCTTAATAAAATAGAGATACGACAAGAAAGCACAGAGGTCGCAGTCTGTCTTTTCTCACAGTAGTAGCTCACTCACAGAACTCCCGTCTTTTCTCAAACAGCTCAAAGCCACCGCCCCGCGTCAAGCTCCCCACGTTGTTCCGATCCTACACCTGCCAGAGAAGCAGATGGTTGGTGCTGTCGTCCCGGCCCGCACCCTCGTTGGCCGCGCTGTTGCGGAAATCCTCGTACCCGTCCCCTCCGCTGATCACCAGCATGCGACTGGCCATGGTAGCTGTGGTGGCAGCCATCGACGATCGACGGTGGATGTCCTGGAAGGAGAACCCACCCCCACCACTTCCACTTCCTCCGGTGCTTCCCCCAGCTCTCTCCCCGGTGCTGCTGCCCCCGGCATCCCCCCCTCCCCCGTTTCCGTCGCGAGCGGTGGACGAGTCCGATTTGGCGCTGGCCGTGCTGCTGAGCTCCACGCTGGTGAGGAAGCGGACGTGACCCGTGTGGCCGTACACCAGACCTAAGGAGAACACAACAGAAACAAACTTCTCCTTTAGAACATAAGTTTTTTTTATAAGAGTTTTAAGGCACTTGCAACACAAAAAGGTCGTATAAGTACCGAAGATTAGAGGAGTTACAAGAGTGTAACAAACACAAAAAGAAGGAGGGGGGATAAAGACGATACATGTTTGATAGGAAAGAAGGAGAAAACCACACCAGAGCACCTGCCAACCATCCACTAAAACAATCTCCTGCGTTCATTCCCGTTATAAAAAACTAGTTAGTTGGTAAAACACGCATTTTAAAAAAAATTCATTATTTAAAAATTCAGATCTAAAACTGAGAGATTAAGGGGAAAAAACCCCAGAACACTGTATCTGGAAAACTTATGTAAGATTTAAAAACTATTTTTAAGTTTAAAAAGCAGAAGCCAATTTATCATTGAGTACGCCCCTTAACTCTTTATCTCCGGCAAGCTGCTCCCAGCAGCATGTGGTCAGAACTGCCATGCCACTGAGCCCCTGGCAGTGGCTTAGGCGCTTTTCTTTATGACCACATTGACATCAAATTAACTTTTGGCAATTGCCGAAAACAGGCCTCTTTTACCAGGAGATCATTCATCAGATGAAGAACTATCAAAACATATTCACTCGTTTAGATTTAAAGACCAACTTAGAGACGTATAATATGCCAATTTTAGATTTTTGCATCAAACCAAAGTGCCAGCATCTCGACAATAAAGATTTTAAAAATTTTTATCTCATCTTATTTTGTCTAGTCCTGTCTTGTCTTACCTTACCTCATCCCATCTTATCTTATTATATCTTACCTCACCTTATATTATCTCATCTAATCTTATCTTATATCATATCATCTAATCTCATCTCGTCTCATATCATATAATCTCATATCATATTATCTAATCTCACATCATATCATATTATCTAATCTCATCTCATATCATCTAATCTCATCTTATCTTACATATAAACCTCCAAGAGTCACAATATGCCAGTGGCGGGCGACAACCGTACCTGTGACAGTGGGCGTGGCCAGGCTGCCCCGTGTGGTGGTGGAGGTGATGCGAGGGATGGGAATGGTGAGGATGACTCCCGCGCTGGTGCCCACCCACAGCAGGTCCTTGCACACCATCAGCGCTGTGATGCGCAGGCACGCTGCCTTGTGTTGACGGATGATGTCGTCCGCAGCTGCAAACATATTCAAGTTCAATATCGGTAACTGTCGGGTTTTTTCTTTAGTTTTAATAGGTTTTACATACAAGTTTAGGTTTAATATCAGGATTTGTTTTGGTTTTTTGGTTTTAATAGGGGTTTTACACACTCATTTAGGTGCAATATCAGGTACTTGTTGTTTTTTTGGTTTTAGTAAGGGTTTTACACACACGTTTAGGTGCAATATCAGGTACTTGTTTTGTTTTTTTGGTTTTAGTAAGGGTTTTACATACACGTTTAGGTGCAATATCAATACTTGTTTTGTTTTTTTGGTTTTAGTAAGGGTTTTACACATACGTTTAGGTGCAATATCAGTACATGTTTTGTTTTTTTGGTTATTCACACAAGTTTAGGTTCAACATCAGTACTTGTTTTTTTTGTTGTTGTTGTTTTAATAGGGGTCTTACATATACGTTTAGGTTCAACATCAGGATTTAAAAAAAAAAAATTTTTAATAGGGGTTTTACAGACACGTTTAGGTTCAATATCAGTACTTGTTGTTTTTTGGGGGTTTTTTTAATAGGGGTTATACACACACGTTTAAGTTCAACATCAGGATTTGTTTAGGTTTTTTTTTTTTAATAGGGGTTTTACACACACGTTTAGGTTCAATATCAGTATGAGTTTCATATATTTTAAAAAATATTTGTTTAGACTGTAACCATGACACAGTACAATAAAAAAAAAATTAACAGATAATGAAGCAACAGCCATTCACATAGATAGATATTAACAACATGAAAAAGTTCTTTTCGCCAATATCTGACTCCAAAGAGCAGCAACTCCTTATCAGTCATGCACACAACTCTCTAAATATCATGGATATGAGACAGTATGGTAGACACAGAGAGAGAAGTTGGAGGCCCTCACATTGCAGCTTCTGTGAGACAGCCTGAGCGATGGAGACCTCCAGCAGGAACTCGTAAGTGACGGCGTGGAACAGCGCCACCTTGGAGCTCTGGTGGGAGGCCACCCACACGCCCTGACCCGAACTGACCAGGCACTGGACGGAGCGACTCGCGTCCGACGTCACTTGAAACGAAGTCTGGGGAACGGATGCGTAAAGGGTAAAAAATTAAGACATCCTAAGAGCCCCTTTAAATAGTTGTCTTAAATATCTAATATCACACAAAATAGTAATTTCTAACATCTAAAAACACACAAAACAGATATCTTTAACATTTAAAATCACATAAAATAGGTTATCTTTAACATTTAAAGACACGCTAGGTGAAAAAGTTCTTTTTCTTCTGCTTCAAGTGCCAGATCCGAAAAAGACATCAGTGATTTTGGTTCATCCCTCATTCCTACGGTTGGATACTCTCAAATAACTTATTTAATTTCATCCTAGTCTCTTCTTGTCACCCATCTGATCAAGTTCCCCAAAATATATTCTTGGTCTACTTGCCTGTGTAAGTTAGAGTTTTACTGCACTTGCAACAAAGTAAGGTCATATAAGTGCCAAAGATAGAGGTGTTACAAGAGAGTAACAAACACAAAAAAGAAGAAGAGAAGATAAAGACGATAGATGTTTGATAGGAAAGAGGCAAACCACACCAGAGCATCCATCAACCACCAACAATTCGTGGTCTACCTCTGGCTCTTCTGCCTCAAGCTTTTTCTAGAGAGAGGAAAATGTTCAAGACCTTTATAAGTTGATCCAAGCATCTATTATGTCCATACTCCTTAGAAACTGAAAACTTACATTTTTTTGTGCCTTTAATCAACGTTTTTCAGTAAAAACCAACCCAGGAATGTGTTTTTTAATAAACATAAGGAGATGCCAAAAAACAAAATTTAGTTAAAAATTGCCAAACTGGCAGAAAAATGCTGGGGGATTTTTAATTCATAGTTTTGACCAGCGCCTGATTCCACCACAATGAATGAATGAAAGCAACCCCCACAACCCAGACACATTTTGGACATTTATGAGGCATTACGGACTCACCAAAAATAAACCCGATGAGAAGAGGGGACGGAAAACTAGGCAGAGGATGACCCAGACACTTATAGACCAATGATGGAAAACACTGGACTGAGGGCAGAGGGCTAGCTGACTGCATGGAAATTGGTCACTTTTAAGGACAAGCGGGCTAACGCAGATTTCATGGGTTTCAAGAAATCTTGACCTGCACCAAAAGTGGGCATTGCCTTACCTAAAGGAGAAGTTTGATTTCATTGGTGCGTATATTTGTTTGGTTATAGAGAAAACTCTCCTTGTCTTTTAAAGAAACTGAACAAGGGGCAAAAACTTAACCTTTGATTTTCTCAAAACAGCATTTTTCGGGATGCCCTCCTTGTGCTTAAAAGTGACCAATTTACTTGTACCCCACCCCCAACATCACCGGCACTGACCTCAATGTTCAAGGCGAGAGGGTTGATGACATGCACCTGGTTCTGGCAGCCACACCACAGCTTCCCCGCCACCGCCAGCATCTTGGAGATGGGAGCCGAGGCTGAGCCAATGGTGCGAGTGTACGGGTGCTCTGTGTCCCACAGACCGTCTGTGGAAGATGGGGGGGGGGGGTGTTGGGAGGGAGAGTGTGGTGGTGGTGGGGGGGGGTTGGGAGAGAGTGGTGGGGGGTGGGGTTGGGAGAGGGAGGGAGGGAGGGAGGGGGAGGGGGGGGGAAGATACCCCAAAATAGCAAGTGTGAAACTCCACAATTGTTTGATGGTCCATTATTTATATCAAATATATAGCTTATATATTCCTTTTTTAAAAGAGAGAAAATGAAGATGTATTTGTTCTGAGACACATTTCAACTCCAACAAGAGAAAGACCCAGCATAGGCAAGTGTGAAACTTCACAATTGTTTGATGGTCCTTTACCTATATCAGATATATATATATATATATTAATATTGTAAAAATCAAACAAAGAGAAAATGATTAAAAATCTGCTTCGAGACATATTTCAACGCCAACAAGAGAAAATGATAAAAACAAAATACAAATCAAACCAAAACAAACAAAAATGGTTGTCCAATAATCAAGAACTTTTTCCTTCAAAGGCAATAAATATCTTCACTGTAAGCCTACTGCCTTATCCCAAGGAGTTCACATCCAGTCAGTAATACAAAATAAACAATAGGAATAACAATAACAACAACAATAACAACAACAACACCAACAAAAGCAAAAACAGCAACAACAACAACAACAGCAACAACAACAACAACAACAGCAGCAACACCAACAACAACAACAACAACAATAGTAACAATAAAAGCAACACCAACAACAACAAAAACAGCAACAACAACAACAATAACATCATCAACAACAACAACAATAACATCAACAACAGCAACAACAACAACAACAGCAGCAACAAAAGAGATATACAACAAGAAAACCAAAAGGCGTGTCAAACACGACCTACCTGCATCTCGCTTGTACACAATGAGATCACCATTCACCAGAGATACAAAAACTTTATTGTCCAAATATCTGAAAACAAAACAATAATTTATTCTTTAATTTTTAAAAACAACAAAAAACAAAACATGAACAAATAACAATAATTTATTCTTTAATTTTTAAAAACAGCCAAAAAACCCCCCACGAACAAATAAACAAACCAAAAGTGTTCAACACTGTTCTAAATGTGATCATTTTCAAAACTCCTCCATAGTAAGAAAATAACAAGAATACGACATCATTTCCAGAAAAAAGACTGGTATAAAATGAGTTTTTCGGTAGTTTTTTTTTTTTTAAATGAATTTTGGGGATAAAATGTAGCTATCATTTTGAGACTAAAAAGTAACAAAACAGGCTTAACAACAGTCATCGACACAAAGCTGTCAACTTTTCAACAACAAAAAAACAACAGCACATAATATACCCCTGCATGTACACACATACACACACACACAAACACACACACACACACACACACACACACACACACAAGCACACACACACACACTACTTGTATATATAAAGTTTTGTCAGTCAAAGACTCACATGATACAGTAAACAGGGGACCCGTGCTGGATCTTCAACTTGTTCTTGGTTGTCTTAATGTTGTCACATGACTGGAAAATGTGGATGCTGAAATGCACAGACCAAAGAGAATCGAAAGTAAGGCCAAATACAAAAACAAGGTAACGTAATAACCGTACAAAATTACTTGCAGAATCATTACGAAGAAAGCATGTTCCCCCCCCCTCCCCCCCCCCCTCCCATAAAGCACTTTGTAGTCTTCAAAAAAGATATACGTAAAGAATGCACCAGAAGCAAAAGACAAACTCACCACAACTTATCCACAAAAAAATATTGATCCACACCTAGTACATTTTGGATACATGTTTAGACATAATGGAAGAAGAAGAAGAAGAAGAAGAAGAAGAAGAAGAAGAAGAAGAAGAAGAAGAAGAAGAAGAAGAAGAAGAAGGAGAAGGAGAAGAAGAAGAAGAAGAAGAAGAAGAAGAAGAAGAAGAAGAAGAAGAAGAAGAAGAAGAAGAAGAAGAAGAAGAAGAAGAAGAAGAAGAAGAAGAAGAAGAAGAAGAAGAAGAAGAAGAAGAAGAAGAAGAAGAAGAAGAAAAACAACAAGAACAAGAAGTAGAAGAAGAACAACAACAACGCACAACAACACACAACCAAAACAACAACAACAACCACAACAACACCAACAACTGACCATCCATCCTCAGTGCCCAGCCACATGGTCGACTTGGCGGGGTCCTGGTCCCAATGGCCAGAGGTGGTGATGGGATCAGGGCTACTCTCCGTCAGCTCCGAAACCTTGGGCTTAGGAGCCTCGTCTTCTGACAGGAGCTCTGTTTGTTTAAAAATCCAAATGAATTTTAAAAAACTAAATAAATTTTTTAAAAATAATTATAATAATAATAAAATCTTAATTTAAAAATAATAAAACCAACTTTTAAAACATAAGATTTCTTTTCTAAAACAACCCAAAAAATAAAATAAATAAATAAAATTTAACAAAATAATAATAATATAACCTTAATTACAAAATTCAAAAACACAATATTTTTCAAAACTTGATAAGATTTCTTTTTTAACCAAACAAAAAAAACAACAGTACAAAGTACTTCACATACCGTTTTATTATGACAATAAATTATGAAATATTTTTAAAAATAGTAATAAAGTTCAAGGGAAAAGAGGACATATACATTGATAGGCAAACAATGTAAGACTTTACTTCCTTCTCCCAGTGAACCCAGAGTCGTCGAATCCCTTTATCCCATTCTACACTTGATCCCTCACTCCCCACCACACCCCACCATCCCAGGGTACACGTGACAGTGACTCACCTCCCACTCAACATACACATGTGACCAGCGACACACCCCCACCGTACACACGCGACGGGTGACTCACCTCCAACGTAAAGCTCATCTGCCCTGGTAATGAAAGACACTGGTTCGTCGTCGCTGGACTCGGAGTCGGACTGGTATCCCTCCTCTATCAGCGTGTCGTTGCTCTCTTCGTCGAGAGAAGAGGTGGACGCCATGTTGGAGCAGGAGGCACTCTTATTCTTGTTGTTGTTGCTGATGCTGCTGCTGTTGTTGTTGTTGTTGTTGTTGTTGCTGCTGCTGATGCTGCTGTTGTTGTTGTTGTTGATGCTGTCGCTGCTGTGAGCCCCGACCTTCTCCACGTTGATTCTGGGTCCTTCCGGAATGATGGCTACAGAGTCCCTCTGCCCGCGCGGGCCTTTCTGAGACGCCCGTCTGTGGGGGAAACACGTCGAGGTGGAGATTGTAGATATTTTACTAAACGTTTTACGGCACTTGCAACACAGAATTAGCAGGTCATATAGAACTGCTGAAGCAAGACACTTGCAACACAGAATTAGCAGGTCATATAGAACTGCTGAAGCAAGACACTTGCAACACAGAATTAGCAGGTCATATAGAACTGCTGAAGCAAGACACTTGCAACACAGAATTAGCAGCTCATATATAACTGCTGAAGCAAGACACTTGCAACACAGAATTAGCAGGTCATATAGAACTGCTGAAGCAAGACACTTGCAACACAGAATTAGCAGGTCATATAGAACTGCTGAAGCAAGGCACTTGCAACACAGAATTAGCAGGTCATATAGAACTGCTGAAGCAAGATTAGAGGCGTTATGAGAGAGTAATAAACATAGAAAAGAAGGAAAGTTAAGGACTTTAGAAGTTAGTTTTAGTTTTAGTTAAAGTTTTACGGCCCTTGTAAGACAATAAGATCATATGTAACTTCCGGAGGTTAGAGGCGTAACAAGAGAGTAACAAACACAAAAGAGAAGGAGGAGAGAAAAGGACGATAGATGTTTGATAAGAAAGAAGGAGCAAATCACACCAGAGCAAGCCATCAATAACACACAGTGAATGTTTCACAGCACTTGCAACACAGCAGTTAGATCATATATAACTGCCGAAGGTTAGAGGCGTTTCAAGAGAGTTCGAAACCCAAAAAAGAAGAAAAGTTAAGGACGACAAATGTTTGATGGGAAGAAGGAGTAAACCACATAAAAGCACCCGTCCATTTAAATTTAGAGCTTATAACAGCAAATCATTTTAAAAAACCCAAAAAACTAGGAAAATTGTTAAGGTCACATTTCACACTTCTTACAAGTTTGGGAACTTAGATACTTGTCAAATTGAAATTTATACAACTTACTATACGTCACAGAATCGTATCCGTTTCATTGGTATTGCAACGGGAAAAAATAGCAGTCCAAAAAATAGCAATGATCTCCTTCTAGACATGCACACTTGTTACAGTGATAATTTCCTGTCAGAATGGTATGTGTGGCCTTTGAGCACGAAAATCCATTTGTTTACCACAACTGGAATGAATTCTCTTTTTAAATGTCATGTAGACCTAGCACGAGTTCCATTTTAGTTGCTATACCACACTGTCCCCCCATCCCGTGAGGAAAGGAGACGGGATTCCTACCATCGCTGATGAGCATCCCGCGGGGGCAAAGCGTTAAAATAACGCAAAATCTCACCTCCTTAGTTTCAGCAAGAGTTTTAAGGCACTTGCAACACAATAAGGTCATATAACAGCTGAAGGTCAGAGGTGTAACAAGAGAGTAACAAACACAAAATAGAATGAGGGGGGGGGGGGAATAAAGACGATACATTTTTTATAGGAAAGAAGGAGCAAACCACAGCGGAGCACCCGCCAACCACCCACATCTCACCTCCGAAACGCGCCGCTGAAGGCAGGCACGGCACATATGCAGAGGATCCTGGCATTGCAGCCCGGCACGGGCGTGTTCAGCGTGACGATGGGCTCGGGCTGCAGCGAGAGCAGACACATGTGGCCCACGTAGCCGTCGCTGTTACACACCCACACGTCACGGAACCCGCTCGAGTTCACGCCGTCGATAGGAGCCGCACAGGAGAACTGAAAACACAACAAAGACAGATACATTAAAAAATTTTGTGGGTTTTTTTTTGGTGGGGGTTTTTTTTTGGGGGGGGAGAGGGGGTTGGGAATTGATTTAGTAAGTTTAACAATACTTGCAACATAATCAGGTCACATAAGTGTCAAAGAATAGAGGTGTTACAAGAGAATATAAAAACAAATAGGAGGAAGAAAGATAAGGAGGATAGACATTTTGATAGGAAAGAAGGAGCAAACCACACCACAGCACCCGTCAACCATCCACACATAAGAAAAGATAATTTCCCCCTAAAACTGTATCAATTTTCAGTAGGCTAATACACGAGAAGTAACTCCATTTTGTCAGCACACCTCACAAATCAAGATGCCCCAGCCAAACTCAGACCCACCCACCTGCATGCCAGCTCGTGTCTTCGTTATCTGCAAGGGCTGCAGGAACTCGGGAGCCCTCTTGTCAGAGAGCAGCGCTGCAGAGAGGGAAAAGAAGCAGTTTGTTAGAAAAATGAAATGCAGTTTAGTTTAGTTTTAGAAAGAGTTTTACGGCACTTGCAACACAATAAGGTATAAAAGTGCCGAAGAATAGAGGTGTTACAAGAGAGAAACAAACATCATCGGAGAGAAAACAGGTTGTACTTTTCATTGATAGGCAGTAACAGAAATTGCTCTTTGTTTTTCTTTTTTGTACACAAGAATTTTGAAGCTCAGTATAACTGACTAACTTTTAGTTTTAGTTTTAGTAAGTGTTTTACGGCACTAGCAACACAATAAAGTTTAAAAATGCCGAAGAATACATGTGTTACAAGAGAGTAACATACACAAAAAAGGAGGAGAGATATATGGACGATAGACATTTGATAGGAAAGAAGGAGCAAACCACACCAGAGCACCCGCCAACCACCCACATGAAATGCAGACCTGCAGATCAGCGAAACAACGAAATTATTATTGTATCTTTCTTTTTCTTTTTTTTCCACAGGATGAAAAGAACTACTTTGACCCTATTATGATGATTTGTGTTGATAGGGCATCAAAACACTTACATTAATCCCCCCCCCCCCCTCCAACCCCAACCTCCCACTATGACCACTTAGCTCTATTAAGAACTGGAACATCTGAGCACATTTGGGTCATATGGGCTGTACAGATTCAGGCATCATGCAATCGGGTCAGTGAGGAAATGAGAACCTTTTTCCTTTTCCCCCAGAGTGCATTTTTTCCTTTTACTCTAGGCTTTTTTCATAACTAGGAGAAAAAAAGGGAAAAAAAATCTTGTCTGGCAACATATTGTCCACACACTAGACAACACCTCTGTCAATTTCTGATATGATCCAAACTTATCCCTACCCCCCCCCCCCCAATCTAAACCAAACCAGCACCAACAAACCAGCACCAACAAACCGGCACCAGCCAACCCTACCCCTCCCCCCTCTCTCAAAACACAAGCATAAATTCAACTCCACACAGTGACAGGAGAAGAAAGAGCTGTCTACGTACACAGTTTCTGCTTGGCGTCAGTAAAGGCGGCTTCCCAGGATCCCCTCTTCTCGGTAGAAGAGAAGCCAATGACTAGGTGCAGCACCCCTTCTCTGAGAGAGAGAGAGAAAAAAAAAAAAACAAATAAATAAATAAACAGCATTTGCATAGCGCATATCCCCGCTCTACAGCAAGCTCTATGCGCTTTACACAATATTATTACTCCAGCAAACCATAGAACACTCAGAAACATTCTCAGCTTTCCGAGAAGCATAAACAAATACACAAAAAGGCGGAAGAGTTCCTCTTCTCTGCATTCCCTTCTTCTCCTGGAGAAAAATAAAAAGCAAATCAGCAAAAGAAACAGATCTATCTCAAACTCGAGAAAACCCAACAAAAGTGAAAGGAAATACATCCGTTCATGTAGCAAAGGGAAAAAAAATGAAAACTGTTCTCTGGAGAACCCCAAAACAAAATTCATCAATTTCCCGTATTATTTATTATGAAGTTGAGGTTTTACGGCGCTCGCAACTGCATAAGGTCATATGAGCGCCAAGGGGTGGGTGTCAACAGAGAAGTCTTTACAAGGAATCAGACTTACTCTGCTCACTTCTCTAGCTTCAACAGAACAAGGTCTGTTTCTACTTTCAAGGCACCCCGGAAATAGCGGGTCACAAGAGAGTGACAAACTTACAAAAGAAGTAGAGGAAAAATGACAATAGTAAGGATTAGGAAAGAAAAGGCAGCAGTTCCCTGTTGTAGATCAGGCACAGTTATGAGCATGACATTGATGAATCAGCCCATTTACAATTCTACTGTGCAGGAACGAGAAATGTTCCCCCTTTGAGAATGGCCTAAAGACACGTCAATTTCCCCAATTCCTATACACAAACATATAAACAAAAGAACTGTATAGGCAGGAACTGCTTACATGGAACATAGACAAACATCATCGGAAAGAAAACAAATTGTACTTTTCATTGATAGGCAGTAACAGAAATTGCTCTTTGTTTCAGTTTTTAGTTTTAGTTTAGTAGAGGTTTTTCGGCGCTCGCAACTGCATAAGGTCATATGAGTGCCAGAAGATTAGAGCTGTTACTAGAGAGTAACAAACATAAAAAAGATGAAGGGGAGATAAGGACGATAGATGTTTGATAGGAAAGAAGAAGCAAACCACACCAGAGCATCTGCCAACTACCCACTGTTTAAGTTTGTTTTTCTTTTCTGTACACAAGAATTTTGAAGCTCAGTATAACTGACTAACTTTATAACCCCCTATGGACAGCAACATTTGGATAATTAACCTACAATTAACCTGACAACTGGAGACTTTCAATGGTACCCTCAACAAAATGAAAGCATGTTTTCTCAGAGTGGCAGTAACACTACACCCACAATTTGCAGCACAGCCATCCAAGTAAAGTCGCGGATAACATCAAACCAGCTTGACAAACAAGCACATTTTTCATCCAAACCAATCAGAACAAGAGTAAAATGAAAAAGAGAAAGAAGCAGACCACATGAAGGTCCCACGTCAACCGTGCATAAAGCCACAAAAGAAAAGCGAGAGCACTAAAACCAGAGTACAAAAGAATTAGCCGGAGCACACCACACCAGTGTCCACTAGACATATGACCACCAAAAAAAAAAAAATAAAAGAGCCAAGCAAAATATCTCACTCAGGTTCAAAGGAAAGGTCTTTTAATGTACAGAAATACTTTTCTACTACAAAAGTAAAAAAAAACCCAGCACATTTCGACCTTTTTCTCAGACACACACACACACACACACACACAAATATTAACAAGAAGAGCTTACTGGGTAGTGACTAGTAACTCCATCTTGTTGGAGTCGCACACACACGCACACACACACGCTCACACACACACACACAAACATTAACAAGAAGAGCTTACTGGGTAGTGACTAGTAACTCCATCTTGTTGGAGTCGCACACACACACACACGCTCACACACACACACACACACACACAAACATTAATAAGAAGAGCTTACTGGGTAGTGACTAGTAACTTCATCTTGTTGGAGTCGCACACACACACACACACACACAAACATTAATAAGAAGAGCTTACTGGGTAGTGACTAGTAACTTCATCTTGTTGGAGTCGCACACACACACACACACACACACACACAAATGCTCACACATACACACTCACACACACACACACAAACATTAACAAGAAGAGCTTACTGGGTCGTGACTAGTAACTCCATCTTGTTGGAGTCAGACGAGGCACTCCGAGCGCTGGCCTCAGAATGCTGCCGGGCCAGGGCTGTGTTCATTTCTTTTATCACATCATCCAGACCCTGGGGGTAGAAGGGGGGGGGGGGGCGGGGGAGAGAAAACGATGAGGGATTAATATTTTTGTCAAGGTGATTGTCTTGACTCACTTGTCAACACTATACACAGCGGAGTCTGCATAAACCGAGTACAGTTTATCTGAAAACAGCAGTTAACAAAAAGAATATAAAATCCCCCCCTCCCCCCCACAAAATAAAATTGAGTAATCTGGCAAAACCAAAAGCAGAAACAAATTTTTGAATACCAGAACAAAATGGGAACGTAAATCCTTCACATATCGCCCTTATCTCCTCCCCGTTCTTTTCATATGTTACTCTCTAGTAACAGCTCTAATCTGAAGCACTTATCTGTGAAGCTCGCTGACAAACTGAGTTATTCCCTGGGATTAACGCCCTACGGAAATAGATACACCTTGCTTATAGGCGAAGTTTTTACAATTCATAATTAAGAAAAAATAAAAGGCAGGTTATACTTAAAGAATATGGCATTTATAGAAAATCTACAAATTTGATCCAAGTGTCCATTTTTGGTCAGTCAATACCTCCACTTGCAGACAGCGCGAAGTAACTCATTTTGTCAGCATGCCTCACATATGACCTAAACGTTTCTATACTACTCTCTGGGGCATCTCCAACTTTCGGCACTTATACGACCTACCTGTGTTGCAAAAGCTGTAAAACTCTTATGTTTGTTTTTGTACGTGTTTTACAGCGCTCGCAACTGCATAAGGTCATATGAGCGCGCGGGACACATTAAACTTTTTCAGTTGGTAGGAAATTTTGAATTTTGCCCGCGTGCCGGCCGAAGCCTACTCTTATCGATTTTTGACCACCAAGGGATCTTTAACGTGCGCAACTTGCACACGGGCCCTCCTAGATTTTTCACCCTTTTCCGAGAAGGCTAGGTGTAGATCTTACCTACAATGAGATCAGGGGTGTGTCTGAAAGACAGCAGTAAGAAGAAGCCAAGGAGTAGCAGTAGAAAGGCTGTAGAAAGAATCAGGAGCCCAGAGGAGGGGGGCAAAGGAGACGAGGGAGTGGGGGCAGAAAGAGGAGACGAAAGCAGACGAAAGAACATTGCTAGAGAGCAGGAAATGAGGTGAAAGGAGACAAATTTAGAAAAGAAAATTTTTCGGTCACTACCCGGATTCAAACCCGGGACCTTTGAATAAGAGGCCAACACCTTAACCTCTAGGCCACGAGAGCCCCTTAAAACTCTTAGTTAACAATTTGTGTTGCAAAAGCTGTGAAACTCTTAGTTAACCAATCCTTCACATATCGTCCTTATCTCCTCCTCCTCCTTTTCAAATATTACTCTTTAGTAACATCAGTAACTTTCAGCACTTATAAGACCTAATTATGTTGCAAAAGCTGTAAAACTCTTCATAACCCAATCCTTCACATGTCACTCTTTAGTAACATCTCTAATTTTCTGCACTTATATGACCTATTTGTGTTGCAAAAAGGACTCTTACAATTTAACCAATCGTTGACATACCTGGTGTTGGCATGACAACTTGCCCGCAAGTTCTGCCAACTGGGTCATCACATTCATGTCCTCCTCCACCTGTTCCCGGTCAATGGTAGGCTTACGTGTCAGCGTGCCCTGAGCTGAAAGTTACACACAACAAAAGAATTTGTTAGGAGAAAAGTTTCCTGCCCTAAACATGGCACACCTTGTTTCTCAAGGGAACAGGGCATGTCTCATTTCTTAAAGTTGAACATGACATGTCTCGTTTCTTATAGTTGAACAGGGCATGTATCGTTTCTTATAGTTGAACATGGTGTGTCTCGTTTCTTATAGTTGAACAGGGCATGTATCGTTTCTTATAGTTGAACAGGGCATGTATAGTTTCTTATAGTTGAACACGGCATGTATTGTTTCTTATAGTTGAACATGGCAAGTCTCGTTTCTCGTAGTACGAACATTGCATTTTTCGCTTCTCGTGTGAATGTGACATGTCTCATTTCTCATGTGAACATGGCACCCCTCGTTTCTTGTGTGAACATGGCTTATATTTCGTTTCTCGCGAGAACACGGGATGTCTCGAATATCGTGTGAACGCGGCATGTCTTGAATCTCGCGTGAACGTGGCATGTCTTATTTCTCGTAGTATGAACATAGCTTGTCTCATTTCTTGTGCGAACATGGTTACCATTTTGAGGGCTGTGTTAAATGTTGATACCCCCCAAACGAGAATGCATTATTGTATGTTTCATTTAAATTAGAAGTCAAGATAGACATGAAGAAAAAAAACTCTTTACTGGAAAGGCAAAGAAAACCCTCCCTTGCGAAATGAGAAAAATTTTGACTGAAAATTTTTTTTTTTTTAAATGATAATCAAAACTTCTCCCACACAGGACTGGAAGTCAAACAACAAGTGAAAACTTAATTGGGAAAAAAACCCCCATCAGAATCACCTTTGTCGATTCTGAGAAAGAATCACCTTTGTTGATTCTGAGAAAGAATCACCTTTGTTGATTCTGAGAAAGAATCACCTTTGTTGATTCTGAGAAAGAATCACCTTGGTTGATTCTGAGAAAGAATCACCTTGGTTGATTCTGAGAAAGAATCACCTTTGTTGATTATGAGAAAGAATCACCTTTGTTGATTCTGAGAAAGAATCACCGTTGTTGATTCTGAGAAATCATGACTTCAATTTTGGAAGCTACTACTATCTTTAAAGAAAGATATTAAACATTCTTATTTCATTTTTACCTGATCCTTGCATTGAAATATTCAACCTTTAAAAAGAACTGTTAGGTTTATCTGTAGTATCATGAAGATACCACGAAGTCAAACTCAAAATGACCCCAAAAAATGTGAAACTGACAACTTCTCTTGAAAAATCATCAACTGTATTTCTACGTCATACAGTGTTTCAAGGAAGGAAGGAAGGAAGTTGTACATATTCAAATTTCATTCTGAAGTCAGAACACTTCCGAAGAAACTAGAAGACATTCGCGAAAAATCATTTTTTAAGATCTCAAATTACCGTCGGTAAAAGTGTTTGTGGAAAAGCGTGACGAACAGATGGCCACACACGCACCAGCTGCAGGAGACACCTGCTCACAACACAACACACCTGGCGTCCGTTCACTCTACAGGTAAACACATCACATTCAAACAGTTACGGCTAACAGGAAGGGTGGGGGGCAGCAGAATGAAAACCGACCCCCCCCCAAAAAAAAAAAAAAAAAAAAAAAAATCACCTCGGCCGGCTGATTCCTTCCCTCACAAAACATGTCAAAACAGCCAAGCTCAATATTATGTTTCTTTCATGAAGGAAGTGCGGAGGGGAATGATAAAAAAAAAAAAAAAAAAAAAAATTGTACCAAGTGGTTTTCCAGAAGCGGAAACTTTGAAGGATGGTAAATATATTTGAACAATAAACATGATGCATCACCTAGTTTTCTTAAGAGTGGAAAAGAAAGAGGAGACATTGAATACGGGAAAAGGAGAAACGACAGCTTTAACACTTTGCCCTCATATTTTGGTGGAAATCCAAGACAGCTTTAACACTTTGCCCTCATATTTTGGTGGAAATCCAAAGAAACAGGGTGGTTAACATCGCCAATCGGCGAGAGATGAGGCGGCAAAGTGTTAAATGAGAAAGAAAAAACAAACATATCTTTCAATAAATAAGAGAACATCAGCACAGTGTGAAACACAAAGATAACCACACAACCACACAGGGGGTGTCTCTCAAACCCTTACTTTTGACAGGACACACTATATAACAGTAACACAACCACACAGGGGGTGTCTCTCAAACCCTTACTTTTGACAGGACCACATAGGGAGTGTCTCTCAAACCCTTACTTTTGACAGGACCACACAGGGGGTGTCTCTCAAACCCTTACTTTTGACAGGACCACACAGGGAGTGTCTCTCAAACCCTTACTTTTGACAGGACCACACAGGGAGTGTCTCTCAAACCCTTACTTTTGACACGACACACTATATAACACAACCACATAGGGGGTGTCTCTCAAACCCTTACTTTTGACATGACACGCTTATGGTGCAACAACATGGAAGGTCTCTCTCAAACTCTTACTTTAATAATTATATTATCATCATTTCTCAAACCCTTACTTTTGACAAATCAAAGTAATAAGACTACTCTGTAGGTGTCTCTGAAAAACCCTTACGTTTGACATAACACATTAATTAAAGGTACAATAACAAGGAAGGTCTCTCTCAAACCCTTACTCTTGACACGACACACTTATCACTGACACAACAACACCATAGGTGTCTTTCAAACCCTTACTTTTGACAATCTCGAGATCATCCAAGCCCACACGTAAGAAGACTTTGTGCTTTATGTTCTCAGCAAAGTCCTGACCCAGTGGGGTTTTTCTGTGGAGGAGAAGCAGGATAATATCCAGGTCAACTGACTTTTATTTCAGTAAGGTTTTTACGGCGCTCGCAACTGCATAAGGTCATATGAGCGCCAAGGGGAGGATGTCAACAGAGAAGTCCAAACGAGGAATCAGGCTTACTCTACTTACCTCTCTAGCCTCAACAGCACAAAGTTTGCTTCGACTATCAAGGCACCACCCCGGAAATAGCAGTTCACAAGAGAGTGACAAACATACAAAAGAAGTAGTGGAAAATGACGCTAGTAAGGATGAGGAAAGAAAAAAGCAGCAGTTCCCCCTATGTTATTCCAGCACAGTATGAGTACGACATTGATAAATCAGCCCATTTACAATTCTACTGCGCATAAGAACATGTCAATATCCCCCCTTTGGGAATGGACTAAAGACACTTCAGCCAGTAGCACTGCCCTGGGGGGGGGGGGGGAGACGCGTTAACTGTCTACCCTTTTTTGGAAACAACATACAGCAGAATCTCGGTACACCGTACTCCCATCAGATCCAAGATTTGGAAAGTCTTAGCTGACATATCTATCGTCATGTCAGAACTGTTTTGTCCAAAGTACACTCTATAGTTAAGTACAATTTGGACAAATTCATTCTGAGATGATGATATGTATCATTTGCCAAAAGAATAAAAATACTAAATGAATGGGACTTGGGGTTTCAGAATGTGAACATCAGAGCCGATAATACGTTTTAAGTCATGTACGTTATACCAAGGTTTTACTGTATCTGCAAATGAAAACGATTTCATTTAACACATAAAAGTTAAGGAGAATTTCTTTTATCTCAAGATATCCACACAAAAAGCAATTTTTAAAAAATCAATGAAATACTTTAAAAAAAGGCCTAATGATAATGATCATTAACGATTTGTGGGCACTAACGTGAATGTGCGAGTGTATACATGTGCGAGTGGATGTGCGTGTGTGAGAGTGGATGTGCGTGTGTGAGAGTAAATATACATGTGCGAGTGTGAGAGTGGATGTGCGTGTGTGAGAGTAAATATACATGTGCGAGTGTGAGAGTGGATGTGCGTGTGTGAGAGTAAATATACGTGTGCGAGTGTGAGAGTGGATGTGCGTGTGTGAGAGTAAATATGCGTGTGAGTGTGTGCTGTTTCCTAATCGCTTTACTCCATGAGCAGCCCTCACTAGCTACAGGGAGGACACTAATATTAAATCTGCACCAGAACACTCACAAAATAATGGAAACTTTGCGAGTGACAGGCCCACTTTTCCGCTTGATGCTGCTCAGGATGATCACGTCGGAGAAGAGCCATATACAACATTGGTCCTTCTTGTTCTGGAGACGAGAGAAAAAACCAAAGAATTACAGTGGCATTGGTGGCCTAGTGGTTAGGCTCTCGGACTCGCAACCGTAAGGTTGTGGGTTCGAATCCCGTCAGGGACCCGACGTTGTGTACTTGGGAAAGGCACTTTACACGAATTTTCCTCACTTCACTCAGGTGGGAATGGGTACCCGGCTATAGACAGCGAAAGATCTTGTCAGTTTGTTAGTGTTTGAGCGCTTAATCAGCTGCTTGCACTGTATGCTTCCCGAGAAGCTGAGAATGTTTCGGAGTGTTCTATGGTCTGCTGGGGTAATAATATAGTGTAAAGCGCATAGAGCCTGCTGTTGAGCGGGGATTTGCGCTATACAAATGCTATCTATTACTATTATTATTACTTCCCACTTCATTTTTCTGCTCATTTAAAAAAAAAATTTTGTTTTACAACTAATAACAATTCATGATATTAAATGGTAAAAAACTGATATGGAGGGGAGGTTGGGTTTTTTTCACCTTCATTATAATGAAAAGTAAAGACAAGCACATTGACGCAATAATAACGATTTCAAGCTAGGAGAAGCAGGCGATAAACAAGATTGATTAAAACAAAGAAATGCTTTTTAAAGAAATGGAACTTACAAGAAATGCCCTTCAACCACCAGCCTGATAATTTTGAAGGCGATAATCTGAGACACAAATTGACACAGGATAAGACAGAAGACAGGTCACTTATCAAAGGTCTGCTCGCTTATATATATTATATATATGTATATATATGAGCTGAAGTGAAGCATGGGGACAAAAAAACATCACATATTATGACGCAGTGAACAAGCAAGACAGATAAAAGCAGCAGACAGAATGATCGCAAAGCAGGGATAGACCATTTGAGCCCTGACTTCCTGAGGCTACCGTGCCCCTTTGCCTGAGCCCCTGAGCCATAGATAAATACTAATATTCATTAAATCGTTAGAATCATTTTCCATATCCCACTCAAGGTAGTCTTCATCATTACAAAACATAGAATTCGGAAAGATCTTCAAAATAATCAATATCGTTCTGCATAGTAAACACTGTTTTCTGTATGCGTTTCGTCCCAGACGGACCAGACCGGGTTTGGGATGGGGTCTCGCTCAGTTTTACGCCCCATCAGCGTACCGGAAGCATTAAGGGCTCAGAGGGTGAAGAACTGAGCCCACAATAAAGTGTCTACAGTTGGGATCTCCCATCAGTCATTCACTCATCAATGGTTAACCAAACAATGCTCACAAATAACTGAACCATCTCAAGTCATTCACTCATCAATGGTTAATAAAACAAAATTGACAAATAACTGAACATGGTCAATAAAGTGTCTAAAGTCGCTTATAGCACAAGGCCTACGCATCAGTCATTCATTAATCAATGGTAGATCAATCAATACTCACAAATAACTGAACCATGTCATGGCGAATATAAGCTCTGTCCGGTACAGCCAGCTGTGAAAATAAACACGACATTGCTTCAATAAAACACACAGGCATATTTTCTTTGAAACAAGCTCTGGAATCACCACAACAGAAATCTAGGCCTACACATTTAAATTGCACTGGACTCTCAGGTAAAACCACCTAAAAATAGCTTTGCACTCTCAGTTTTAAAAATCTATAAATAGCTCTGGACTCTTCCTAACAAATATCTATAAATAACTCGCAATTCTCTTCCTTCTCAGTAACAAACATCTGTAAATACCTCTGAGCTCTCAGTAACAAACATCACTAAAAGACTCTAATCTCTCAGTAAAAAGCATAAATAAACAACTCTAAACTCTCAGTAACAAACATCTATAAATAACTCTCGAAGCTCAGTAACAAACATCTGTAAATTATATCCCTGAGCTCTCAGTAACAAACATCTGTAAATTATATCTCTGAGCTCTCAGTAACAAACATCTGTAAATTATATCTCTGAGCTCTCAGTAACAAACATCTGTAAATTATATCTCTGAGCTCTCAGTAACAAACATCTGTAAATTATATCTCTGAGCTTTCAGTAACAAACATCTATAAATAACTCCCAACGCTCAGCAACAAACATCTGTCAATTATATCTCTGAGCTCTTTGTAACAAACATCAATAAACAACTCTAAACTTTCAATAACAAACATCTATAACTATAAACAACTCTAAACTTTCAATAACAAACATCTATAAAAATAAACAACTCTAATCTCTCAGTAACAAACATGACCTATAAATAGCTAAGCAACACACATCTATAAATAGCTCTGGACTCTGGATTAACAAACAACTCTTAACTTTCCGTAACGAACATCTATAAACAACTCTCTACTCTCAGTAACAAAAGATGATCTATAAAAAGCTCAGCAGCAAGCACGACATGATCTATAAATAGATCTAGACTCTAATAAAGTTCGCGTATAATTCGGTGGCGCCCTCTTTTAAAAAAAGCAGACTTTGCGAACAGAGTTACTAGTTACCCTACTTGTGCGAAAAACAAAAAAAGTGAAATCAACAAACGGTGCTATTCCTATTCTTCTTCGGGAGAAATGAAAGAGAGCTTCAAAGCAAAGACTGCAGCGCCATCAGAACCAGTGCGCTGACTTCCGCTGACACTTTTTTGGCCAAGAGAAATATCTTGTTATGTACTATATTTGACTCTACGCCAGCACCGAGATAATCTATAAATAACTCGAGGCTCTCACATCAGTAATGAGCAATAGCTGCAGTTTCTTGAGAGAGTGGCACCGCCCTGGGCGGGGGGCTGACATGATCTATAAATAGCTCTAGACTCTAAGCCAGCACAAAGATAATCTATAAATAACTCGAGGCCTCTCACATCAGTGATGAGCAACAGCTCCAGTTTCTTGAGCGTCTCCTGCATGTCCTCCTCGTGCTGCGAGTCGTTGACCGTGCCGATCTTGACCGCCAGGTCGTGCATGACGCGGCAGGCTTGCTGCAGCAGGGGGTGGTCAGGGTGGTCGCTCGGCGTGTTGTCCAGGAGACGCTGGGAGGAGGGACAGATTTAGGGTTTTTTGGAGTAAGTTTACCGTAAGTGTTGTTGTTTTTGTTTGTTCCTGTTTTTGTTTTTGTCTTTGGTAAGTTTTATTTTTTAGTTTTGTTGAAGCAAGGTTTTACGGAGCTCGCAACTGCATAAAGTCATATTATGAGCACCAAGGGGTGGATGTCAATAGAGAAGTCCAAACGGGGAATCAGGATTACTCTGCTCCCCTCTCTAACCTCAACAGCACAAAGTCTGCTTCGACTATCAAGGCACCACGGAAATAGCAGTTCACAACAAAGTGTGACAAACATACAAAAGAAGTAGAAGAAAAATGATGATAGTAAGGATGAGGAAAGAAAAAGCAGCAGTACCCCCTATGTTGTTCCGGCACAGTACGAGCATGACATTGATAAATCAGCCCATTTACAATTCTACTGTGCATACTAACATGTTAATATCCCCCCTTTAGGAATGGCCTAAAGACAACTTCAGACAGTGGTACTGCCCTGATGGGAAGGAGTAAGTGTTTTACAGGTGCCACAACTGCATAAGATCAAATTATGAGCATGCAGGACACATTACATATTTTTAGATTGGTAGGGATTCAGTTTGCACTTTGGCCAGGTGGCAGCCAGAGCCTACTCTTATCGATTTTAGGACCACCAAGGGATCTTTATTGTGCGCAACTTGGACACGGGACTTCCAAAAATGTTTCACCCTTTTCCGAGAAGGGTAAGTGTTCGATATTATTTACAAGAAGATCAGGGGTGTGGCTGAAAGACAGGAGTAAGAAGGAGCCAACGAGTAGCAGTAGAAAGGCTGCAGAAAGAGTCAGGAGCCCAGAGCGCCCAAGGGGGAAGAAAGTGGAGACAAAAGCAGACGGCAAAAATATGGTTAGAGAGCAGGAGAGAAGGTGAAAGGAAAACGTTTAAGGGAAAAAAATGTTCCATTGCTGTCAGGTTTCGAACCTGGGACCTATTGAATGAGGTACTTCTAGACCACAAGAGCCCCCAGAGGGAGAAAGGGAGGGGGAGGGGGAGGTGGGA